CTCGCCTTTTATGTTATTAATTTCTACTTGAGAGAAAGCGCTTTGTTCTCACTTCGGAAAATAATTAAAGTTCCTTCGAGATTTTGTAACCGAAAGTAATTTAAATATTAAAGACTCACCTCACCTAACAACACGTTACTGTGAACCTTCGAGGAACGTGCGAGCAGCTTTAAACCACACTCTCAATTATTGTCCTCCCCTCAACACTCACAAAAGGTCTGAAAAAAATATGTTTATTAATATGTACATATGAGTGTTTCATACATACCGTACTGAGTAAAATGTTTTATTACCACTTATTACATAAACATTGTGAATATTGTAATAATTTCACAATATTTTAAGAAATTACAATCAATTCCTGCTATTAATATCGCGTTACTTATTTATATAATTTCTACTTCTCCAGTTTTACAGAAAATTTTTGTTCCTCTCACTGATACCATAAAAAAATTACATTTCATGTGACATAATTTCTTTTGTCAAAAACGTATGGAAACATCCTCCTTTCCATATCAGGTTTATGAAATTGATATATATTATAATATATATTTTGCAATATAGAAAAAACGTATCACGATTTCGGTTTTATATTATTTTTATGTTTGTCATTTTAATCGGCAAACGAAAAGACGATTCACTTTATGGAGTGTGGGTCAACGTCTCAACGTAAGAGGAATAGAGGACGTAGGAGTCATTAACACTGTAAGGTGATATAGAGATGATATCTATTGAAGTTAAACTTCGGTTAAAAAACTTAAGTTAAAAAATATTAATAAACATGATCTTAGTAATATCAGTGATTATTATGATAACAGAAATATATTCACTTTAGTTTTTTTTCATTCGAGGAAACCTGCTCCATACAATCAGGGAGCGTTTAATAATAAACATACATAAAAATAATCAAAGTTTTTTGTTGTTATTGTATTTGTTAACAAAACATTTGTCTCTTATATATATTTAGTTATTCTCTTCAACATTACTCGGCTTGTCTCTTATAGAATTCTTCACGCTCAGCTTTAAAACGTTGGATGTTGACTGGTTAACATCAGTATTGAATTAAAAAATAAACTGTATATATAACTAAAATTATGATATCACCGATGTAGAAGACAATATTACTTCTTTATTGATACTTTGTTTAAAAACAATTCAGCAATGAAGAGTTTTCTAACAAGAATTTAAAATCACACACAGACCGGCAATCATAAACTACAATAAAGAAAAGGAATTATTAGTACATAGTTTATATATTTTTTTTTATAATGTTTCTTTATCCGTGTAAGGTTTGAGCGAAAGCAATTTTTATATCTAAATTATATGTTAAATGTTTAATGGGACGAAGACATATAAAATCATTATTAATGCTAAACGAATGATCGAGCTGGTGAAGTCAATTCGTTCGGTCTGTTTGATAGTTTCTCAAGTTTAATTGGAGCTAATCTTCTTCATTAATCTTTGAACAGAGCGATCTAAAGTTTTGTATTTTGACGTCTCCGTTCGTTACGAAACAAGTCGAAGCAATTTATCGACTGGCACAAATCTGACACAATGTTGGATTCACTATCTTATACCTATAAATATATATCTTATATCCAGGCAATTATAAAAAAGTTATTATCTTCATTTGTTCCTTCTACTTACTCATGCTGCTACCGCTACTATCATACTATCGGTAATAAGACTCCCAATCACGCACGTACATACACGCCCATGTATGCGCATGCATATATTCATTCACACATACAAACATATGTAAAAACACGAGTATCTAACTTTCTATTGGTTTTGAATTAAATAAGATACTGTTACTTTTATATTAAAATAAGATAGTAGTGAACACATTATACGTATTACAACTACTTGAGACTGTGGTGTCAATGTGAAATAAAATGTTAAATAAATAAATATTATATGTCATTTTTATTTAAATCTAAGCATTAGTCTCCGGACCATGCAACCAGCAGAGCAGCTCCTTATATAATGGTGTTGTTAATGTTGATGCTGGTGGTAAATTGAGAGTTTAATGTTCTTCGACAACAAACTGATGTGTAAAAAAACAACAACACTGTAAGTTCCAACAATATACAAGGTTCCTACAGTAATAAAGTCAGGATGTGTTCCTGAAGGTCTCTTGTACTCAAGTCGCTGTCGTGTGTTTTCCTAGCATTACAATAAAATAATAGTCATGAGTTACATAAGCAACTAAAGACGTTTGTGTTAAGAGACGAGACACATGGGTTTATAAGTCGGTTTCCAGCCTAAAAACAAAATAATACTTGATACTATCACGACAGGCTTACTTGGTGCTGTGAAAATAATAAACGAATCACTATTCTTAAAGTTTATTGATGTAGCTGACTTTCCCTAACCGAGATTCTCATAGAATATCACTAACATTATTCCTGTGCCTGCCTTTTAGTTTTTGTTATCGGTTTTTAATGTCTTACTTTTTGGCTTATGAAATATAATTTTTGTCAAATATAGTAGGGCTATTCCAGAGTACGCCAGATGGATCAGCGTTTGGTAAACTTTCGAAAGGTGCTATTCGCTTTAAAAATTTGATCTAAAGAAACGGGAATGGAAAAAGAAACGAACTTCGAAAAAATGCTGTTCAAAACTATAATTCATGTTCTCGCGAGACAGTGAAAGATTGAGAGAAATGTTTGTTAACCATGAAAAATTATCAGAGTGACGCTCACACCAAGAAACATTTCCACAGTATGAGTGTTGTTAGACTCGCTCACATTCAGAACGGTCTTGTCAAAGACAATCAAATTGTCATCAGAAACAAAATCTTTATAACTGAATGTTCATATAACGACAACTACTGACTACCGATCTAAACTATGTAATAGTGCTTATGAGGCAAGACAGCGATTATTCAATATCATACTAAAAAAATCGCGTAAATTGGACCATAGGTTGTAGTGTAAAAGTTTAGGTGCGGACATGAACAAGGATTTATCAAGTTGTAAACCTACTCCTTTTTAAAATCTGTCAAAATTAATCTAGCCTCATGGGAGTTTTTAATTTCAACAAATTATATTTATTTATAATTATATTACTGCGATCGATCATGAAATAAACTTGCTCTCAACAATCTTCCCCAGCGATCTTCTCGTCTCCTGTAAATTTTAATCAGTCAACTGCAATTGGATTCCATCCTCCAGTGATTACATCCAAACACTCCAACCAACAAATAAAATACAAGCCGAGGACAACAAGCGAAGATAGATTAACACGAGACCGAGTGTAGCGACTCACCATCCTCAGTTCTTATCTTAACATCAAAAATGATTGCTAACAATAAATGCAGTACAACTCTGAACAATAAATGCGGTAATAATCGATTGTATCTTTATTTCATTAAATAATGGAATATGATTTTAAATTGTACGAGTAATAATAAATAATAGTTGGGGTCAACTGTCAATGACACGTTCGGAAATGAATTATACTCCATTGCTATTAAATAAATCAACTCTCACCAATAAGTGTTTGATTAAATTGTTATTCGATAAAGATTAAATGAATTATCAGTCTGGTCTACTGGTTTTTATTATTATTTCATTTTCCGTTGGTTATTGTTTATGTTACACTTTATATATAATGGAAATATTTTTCTTTTCTTAATTTAAACAGCTTATGGTTAAAATTTTGCTTCTTTTGTATGTTGGCGGAGGATTTTATAGACTAGATAATTGTAACTGAGGTATAGAGGTGAATATATGACATGACGGAGTGTGGTGTAAATATTTATATATTGACCCTACATTAGATTAATCCTTTTCAACTTTTATTACCACTCCTGCAGATTTACATTCCTAAAAAAATGTATATGACTTTCTTTATAATAATAATATATGAAAACTCTCGTTACCGCTCTCAAAAATAAAAAATTCATCTTATCAAGAATCGAACAGACAACACTAATCGCATATACGTTATCAATGTCTTAATATTATCAATTAAATATTTTATGCATTAAATAAAAGAAATTAAGGTGGCAAGAATATGTGTCTGAATGAGACTTCAAACCAACATATTTGTTTTATATCGTACTGTAACGTAAACGCTAATAAACAATATATTTTTTAACATTGTTTAAAATATGTTTGTGATATTTCAGTAATAAATTGCCGGACACTTTATCATTCATCGCATCACAGAATACTGTTTGTGTAAAATAATACAAAGTTACAGTTGAAAATCGACATTTTAAACGACCTGTTTGGGATTTAAAGCACAAAATAAAATTATATTTAAAATTTGTCTATTTTCCTCTTCCTCTACTGGCAGCTGAAGTTAGTAGTATTGTTGTTATATATTGTATTACAGTTCATCTAATTTTATTTTAAAGATTAATGAACTTTTGCAATAGTTGAAACCATTGTTTTAACCTCTTTAAAATACTTGAAAATTATTTTATATACGTCTTGTTCATTATCCTTTACTACATATCAATGATAAAATATTAAATAGCACGTTAAAACTTATATATCTTTATCCCTTGTCACGACAATACTGTACCAAAACTTCATAAAGACTATTGTTACAGTCAGTGATAACCTTCTTTGGACTTTAGTCACTGATTAACACAAAAAAAAACTGCATCCTTATAAAACTTATCGTTCCATAATATTGGTATCGATGTTGTTAATCGCGAGGTGATGCAATTAACCTAATTATATAAGTTTAACTATATTAACATAATATGTATATTACAGTCTGTTGATAAAACAGTTGAAATGTGCAAGGTTGAGGAACAAACTTTACGCAATGAATGTTTTCACGATTTATTAATGTTTTATAAAACAAAACATGAACAATAAAATGAAACATTTAATGAGGCAACAGAAGTTATTCGTTCATTGTGTATCTCGCACACGACTCCTGTTTGAAACCTAATTTATAATATTATTATGGTTACATTTTTTTATGTTTTCAGTTTGCTCACAACGGTATATGTTTTTATATACTTGCTGACTTCATTATTAGGTATATCGTTCGATAAAGCTCTGGTGAAAGGTTTTAATAATATGTATCATAGTGCGAAGATCTTCCATCTTCGGCAGGATGGTCATTCGTATGTGATGAGTTCCCGGAGCCTGGCCGAACCCGGTGCCGGGAACCACGCAAATACCTAAAAGTAATTTAAGTTTAGAAGAATTAATTTTCATATCCTATTGTAAGATACTCCGGTGAAACAGGAAGTTAGGTAGTTATATAATTTTGTAAGATAGATTTATTATTTGTTTTTTTGTAATTACTTTTACCAAGACCAATTTTTTAAAATCACATTAAAGTTTGAATTAAAAATGCAAGGCAGGAACTATGGTCCACTATTATCAATTGGTACATCAATGTACGAGACTTATTTTTAAGTATCGAAGTCAAAAGTTAGTCTGCCTCCAAAATAATAAGCGATGTGAAGCTTTCGGTTTTATAATTGGGATGGTGAAGAGTTTCTATGAAGTCTACATAGAGCGTATTTGTAGCGACAGTAATTAAAAGTACTGCGACCAGTGTTATAACCACAGGCGGTCAGTCGAACTAAAAATTACAAAGTAACATCACGTTGAAGTTATAGACCCTTCAGTATTCTTAGTTTAAAATTGATAAAAAAAAATCATTTGGGGTAGCAAAAATAATTATGCCGAAACAGGCTGATTAAAGAAAAATAGGGGAAATATAATCCGATAATCGTGGGAGATAATTTAATACATTGAAATAAAGTGGGTTTAAAATTTACTGATGTTCCAAGGACGGGGCGGCGGATATGCCTACAGATTCTCATTAAATAAAAAACTGAAGCGTAACGAATGTCTATGATTTGATTAAAATATAATTGTAAATAAGTTTTACCAGTTTCTTCTAAGAGTCTGTAAGCATAGAAAACGTCAAGTGGTTGTTTGGCTTCTTCAGCTGCTGCGACGGCTTTAGGAGGCAGAATAATAGTAGGGAAGGCGTACATTGCTCCCTGAAAAGAACCCATTTTTTAATAATAAGTAAAATTAAAGTTATACATTCATTTAATTTACATCCTATGAATTATAACTCTGAGTTAAAAGTTGCAAACAATGTTATAATAATAAAGTAGGATTAAATCCTGTTCACCTGCACTACGTTACATCTAAATCCCTGGCCTGTGTTAAGTCCATCAGTTATCATCTTTGCACGTTCTCTAAGAGATGCAAGCACTGAAGTCTTCTCGTGCAGCCATAAATCATATGAAGGCTCTCCGGGTGAAGGTGGCTTAGCCTGAGATAGTAAACGAAACTATCAAACTAGTACAAAATCCTTCTACAATGTGAATTAATGAATCTGGAACTGACATTATTTGATCTGCGTTACTTTAAAGTTCTTACCACGCAGTCAATGGCCGCCTGCCCCAATATATTCGGCGAGACCATGGCCGACATGAACTTATACAGTTGTGCTTGAACATCGGGATGGAAGTTGGTGAGCTCCACCCAGCCTCCTCGCAGACCGCACTCGCCCATGTAGCCCTTACTCACTGACATAATAGAAGCCAGCTCGATAGATGAGTACGGTGCGCCTAGTTCCATCATAACCTGTCAGATATCCAAATTAATCTGTTCATTAAGGATCTAACGTATATTTCCTATGTTATTAAATGTAAACTAGTCCTAAAAAAAAGATCATACCTTTTTGAAAGAGAAGAATTGGATACCTTCAGCATATATATTGTGTTGGTAGACCTCATCGGCTAAAAGAAATAAATTATGCTTGTAGACGAATTTGATAATATCTTCCATATTTTTACGACTTAGAACCTGAAAAAAAAATGTTTGATTTGAGTACTATAAAAGATCAAAAATTGTTGAGTTTAAGAAATCGTCTCAGAAATGCATATGAAAAATAATAAATATACATACTTGTCCCGTTGGATTTCCGGGGTTAATAACCACGAGAACCCTCACATTGCACTTCTTCTTAGCCTCGTTTAATCGTTGCTCTAACTCTTCTATACTAAGACTCCAGTTAGTGGCCTCGTCTAAATAATAACCCACTTGAGTGAGGCCGTATTTTGCGTAGCAAGCGGAATATAATGGGTATTGAGGAATGGGAGTCAAAACACCTATAAGAAAAGTTTGTTTAACGTAGTTTTTCTCGACAATTCGTTTCCAGTCTGGCCTAACTCTCAGGACAACAAAGTTTACTAAATTTTTGGCTTACAAAAATCTTAATGAGTACGCTATTTTTGTAATTAAATAACAACTATATACATATGAGTATACGCTCGTGTAATGGGCCATGTTTTTGTTTTTAAAGTTTTATTCGTTTTGTTGTATGTTTTACTTATAAGACCTTTTTTACCAAATATAAGATGTGTAATTATAAATGTTAACTCGTATCGTAGCTTACTACACCTACCGTTCTTTTGTCCATTCGTATCGTTGCTAAACAGTTGCAAACAATACTTGATCGCTGTGGACGCGCCGGCGGAGAGAAACACATTCTGCCAGTTAGCCGGCAGACCGTCTCGTCTCTCGATGTACTCGGCCACGTGGCGTCGGATGTGATCGATACCGTACGGAGCTGAATAAGATCCTATCGAGCCGCCACTTTTAGGAAGGAGGCGTAAGAATGTCATTAGTTAATTGGTGTATGTAAAGAGTTTTTGGTAGGCCCTAAAAAGGAGGATTTAATATGTTCACAGGAACAGAAATGATTTTCAACTTTTGTGCTCGGAAAAAAATAAGAAAACTTTAAGTCATAATTCTTCAGTTTATGAAATATGATTTCATAAAAGGGTCATATAGTACCCTTTTTTGTGACTTAATATAACAAATTACCTGCAACTGTTTAAGATTTCTCGTGCTCTTTTTTTGACATCTTCAGGGAAATTTCCTTCTTCAATGAGTTCCGGATACGAAATACAAGCTAATACCTAAAAAAACAAGTTGTTCGTTATATATAATACCTATATAATATTTTATATTTGGTTAAACTTTATTATGAAGTTACTGTCTTTACAGTTATTTGTGTCTTTTCCGATATCTTAACATTAGTTCTGATTTTAATGTATATATATTTGTTACCTGTCTTATAAATGTGATCGGAACTTGTCCCATGGCATGTGCGTCTCCAATGTTCGCTCTTATCACATTCTTGAATGGTTTTTCAACTCCCTGATAAAGCGTAAAACAACTTTTATTATATTAAATAGTATTTATCACACAAACCATTCCCCATCATATCATCAAATTGTTAAAGGTGATGAAACGGTTAAGGGGTATACATTCACAGTCAAATCCTTTTAAAGTTTGATTTGAAGACATAAACATCACAACATCACCGTTTGTTTTTTTTTATTGAATAACAAATTCATATTCACAGTATTGGTATTGGTAGTATTGGTTAAATGTTAATTTATTCCTTTCGGTCACAAATAGGCTTTTTAAATATTGCTTTAAAAAAAAAACAATTTAAAAACACTGTATAGTCATATCTTTATATTTTGGTGTGCATCCTCAAATTCAAATAACTTATCCTGAATTCAATTATTTTGGTTTTAACAAATATGTATTTTAGTATCTCTACTATTTCTTCTACATTTTTTGTATACAAATTATGTTATATTACTTTGAACACACCCAAACAATTGAGATCCTTAAATAACCTTTAATATTTTTGCAGAGCTCGTTGCGGTAAAATATTAAAATTTTTGATGAAAGGTATACACTGAATATATTTCATTAACAGTTTAAAATCAAGTTTTATAATTATAACGGTTGTTTAAAATATTTTACAAAAAAAATATTGAAAATTCTCTGTAATGGTTTTTCTGTTTCATATCATTACAGAGAACTATTGTTATCTTATACGTTTGGTAATTTACACGATAATTCTATTATTTAATTTTTCTTTAGTAAAAGTTTTTTAAGACCTCACCATTTTTAATTCTTCTTCTATTTCACCAGCTCGAGCCACTAGCGGACCTTGCACAGCGTACTCCACCTTGAGTATGTTCGTGTTTATATTTTTCAATGTCATCGAAGCCATGGTTGCCGGACTTGTGATTGTAACTGTGTAGTAAAGGAAACTGACGATGAATCTTTAATCAAAATCTTCTTGGCTGACCTATCATTTTATCAGTGACACTGTTGTAAACAAAATTAATGTAGCGTCGCAGAAAATACCAAAATTGTTATCCCTGACCAAAATTATTTATCTCGTTAAATTACAATAAATATTAATTATAATAACTGTTATCTATTTTACTATTTTACCAATAGTCGATTTATTTCTGTGTAATGTGTAGTATATCTATTCACGAAAGGAAATGTTATTATTTACAACTCAATAAAAAATATCATAAGAAAAGAATCAATACATTGTAAAAAAAAACATAATTGTAGAAATGTGTCGACTAGTTTCAATGATCATCCCTTTAAACAAATGAAAATCAGCAAAAAGCGTTACACTCCCTCAGAAAGCGGTTTAAACTTCAAAGTTAGTAAAACCCATTACTTACTAGTCGTCACCGGCTCTCGCTGCATTCTATTATTCCCGTCTCGCTTCTGTACATATAAATTGCTTTTCCAATCCCCTTTAACTGTTCCATTACCATTAACTTATATGGTTAAACAAAAATGCTTTCTTGTTTTCTAAAACTGACTATGACTTTTTCCAGTTCAAAACTTAATAGAGTTTTTTTATTCAAAAATATAACGTCAAGTATTACTGAGAGAATTAATTGTATTATATTGGTAATTAGTCATTTATACACATACATATATACAGTTATAATATTTTTTGTCAATAGTTTAACATAAACATATTAAATGGTAGAAGTGCAATTTTTATTAAAGACATCAAATATTATTGTACATAAAAGATCTTTTACAAATACCTAATTTAAGATTTGTTTTAATTTTTTAAATAAAGTACCAGAATAGTATATTATATAACTTTTAAAATTAAAGGAATACGACATCATACCATAATATCTGCCTAATTTATTCGATCCTATTCAAATTATTAAAGAAGGCTTTTGTAAGAAACTTACGGTTCAGTAGGTTATGTTATTAAAAAATAATTCTGGAGGCTACAATTTCCAATTCAGCATCTTCCTAAAAATAGATTAAAATGTTAAAAATGTTTCGTATCGCAGAGCAGTTTAGTTTATTGATGATAGAAAGTAATAAATAATCTTAAAGCTTATTTCTTTATACATATTATTAAATTGGTATCATATCTTTTTTCACATTAATGAAATCATTTTACTTTACAAATAAGAGAATGGCCCTAGGGCCATACTACTAGTACTAGTACTGAGTAAATGTTTTAGTCAAATCAGAAAACAGATTATAAAAAAACGTACAGCTCGCCATACCAGCAGTATCGTTGAAGATTATTTAAATACTCATATACTTTTTTCTTGGAGAACTTCATATAGTAGTCCCTTGGAAAAACCTGAAAAGTTTATTGATAATGTAAGCATTAACGGAAGAAAATTCCTCTGAAATAGCACACTATGCCATTAATGCCAATGTGTGACTATGGGCCCCCTTCAGTGGCGAGCGTTGAGGTGATAAAAAGTGGCTGTAGGTATCAAATCTAACAGAACTAATCCCATCCTACACACATGCGCAAGTAAGATCTCTCCTAACACTTCAAATTAATCGTTTGTGTTTTATGTATAAGCTATTTTAGACGTATAAAAAATTTCAATGTTGACTTTCGCTTCCTAATCACCACTTCTAAAATTTTTGTAATTAATAAGGAACACGTAATTCTAAATTTAGATTTTCAACTTCAGAATCAGAAAAAAGTCTACTAAGTTTAATAAATTGTTTAAGCAGGATTAACATCTGTAGCAGGGTTAGGAATTATCCAAAATGAAGCTAAAACGAGGATTAGAACTTAAAAGAGAGTAATCGTTTTGTTATCTTTTCATATAGATTGAAATCAAAAATAACTCACTAATTCAGTAAGCAAAGATTTGTAATATCAATAATATGGGTACATTAATATTAAATACATATAAGGAGATGAAGATAAAGGTGCTCGTTCCTCCTTTAACAATAAATAAACCATATCAAGATGTTGGTGACCGTATCAGGAATGGTTATAAAATGTCCAAAAATCTTTTACCCTCGTCACCGTCACGAAGAAACATGTAAAATGCATCGTAATCTCATCGAACGACGAAAAATAAGGTTCGGGAAAAAAGTCAAAAACTTTCACACAAGAAATTACATACCAGAGAAACTACATTGACTTGCAATATAAATTACTGGAATTTTAGAGCTATAGTTTGATGTTTATATATATAGGGGTGATGAAATATACATCGTAAGAAGTTTCAGTGTGAATACAAAATATCTGGGAGTTGTGACAAAAAATAATACAAAAGTGGCTTGGCTTATCCGCCAAATGCTCTTTGTGTAGGAATTTGTTTGAGGAGACAACCCGGCGCAAAACTCAATTGATTTATTAATTTATGAATAGAAGCTACAACACATCATGTGTGGGTTATCATTTTAGTAGATTTTTTTATTATCTGCAGTGAAAAGAACAATAAAATGAATATTCTTAGCATTAAAATAGTAAGAATAATTGTCTCAGAAATATATATTTTATTTACCCTTATAATAGAACAACATTCTTGCTTCAAATACCTAAGTCCTACACCAAAAATAGAAAAACAAAACATGGAAATGCTGCAAAGGTTATTTTCTCAGCGGCCTATTGCTTATCGTTTTATTTTTTACATCTGATCCTCAATGTTAGAGAAACGATTATAAAATGAAATAAGGAATATATATTTTGCTTCAATTTATCAACATCATCTTTCGTATTTAATATTGAACCCGAGTTTTATTCGTGTTTAACACCAGTGCCTTCTGTCGTCAAATTTAAATATTGTTTGTGTATTGTAATATATGTTGTTATGATATTCTATTAAAATATGAAGTTTTACAGCAAAAAAAATTAAATAAAATGATTCTTCTTCTTCTACCTGATAATTTCCCAGCTACAGCCAGGGTCTGCCTTACATGTTAAGAATAGTTTTGGCTATTTGTTTTTATGACCGACCGCCTGCCTGACATCAACCCTCCTTGGGCATATGGAATAAAATGATTAATTATTTATAAATATAATAGTAATCATATTGATTATAAACTATTTAAACAGACGACCAAGAAGCAACGAAATGACGCGACATAGAATTAATATTGATGGCAGGATACTAGAATGGTAACAACCACACATGCATCCCACAACCGTCATTGGGAATAAAAACTTGTTTTAAACGAGTTCATAACAAGAAGATCTTAAAGAAAATTACTTTACGTTAATATCGAATAACTTAGTCCGGTCACCAGTTCGCGTGTCTTTGTCTCGTTAATGTTCTCTCGACTACTTTATAAACAACTGTCAAAAAAATATATACTTACTTTGATTTCTTTCTAAACAAAAGCTGAAATTTCGGTAGCTGTATAATTTTAATTTAAACTCAATTAATAATACGCCCCAATAGCGGAGCATCGTAACTTCTGAGAATAGAATCTTATCTCAGTCTTTTATCATTGTAATGTTGATATTGTTTTTATTCGCGAGTAAAACAAAAATACGTAAGTTACTTTGTTTTGACACGAGAGATTGAGCTCAGACAGGATCAAAACATTTTGTGCAATGAAAATGGACCGAGGACGATAACAACTGAGAAAAATGAATGTCATGACAAACTTTAAGATAATAATTTGTATTGTACGTTACAACGAATATTATTTATTAAAACATTCAGGCACGAGAGAGATTGTAACATAATATATTTGATGAATTTCAGTTTTTCTTTCGTTCATTGTATTTCCTCTAGTTGGATAAACTCGATTCTAAATTCACTGTAATCGTATTTAGTTCCCGTCGATATCTACTGATTAAGTTTCATAAAAACTGCTATCTACTATAAGCTCCCTGCAGAATATCCAGGATAATGGACGTGTTTGTCAGATCCGACATACTGTTTATTGGATTTAAAGTGAAATGTTTTATTTATACATTTAGAAAACATCTAACTATTTATGTGTTTTAGAGTAATCTTTTTACTATGTTTTAACATGAATATCGCGAAAGTCTTAGATTATTTATAATTTGAGAGCTACGTTGCAGTGGTTATAGAATTGAATCTTATTTGCCTCCATGAACTATGTATATTGCACTATGTATTAATCAAATATACATATATTAATCCGTTAAGTTAGACTACTTCACTGTCGGTGCTGTCAATTCTGTTAACAAACACATTTGTATAACTTTAAAGTTAAAAACAATTTTATTTTAAAAAGCAAAATAACACATTACTATTGTTTGAACGAGGAAAATATAAAGTATCAAGTTAAAAAATATTAAATTTTTTTTAGTGTTAAAAAATATGTATTAAATTCATAGAACCGAACCGAAGCCCGTGATGAATAATTAATATATGTTAAGTCTATTGTTTTGTTATCATAGTATTTATATATTTAGTCAGTGGTGGCCTAGTTGTTAAAAAGGCCTGCCTCTCATGCATGAGGGTTCGATCCTGGCCCGGGCATACCAACGTGATTTTTCCGAGTCATATGTACTTTCTGAGAGTATTTAAACATCACTAATTAATTCTGATTCCTAAAAGAGGGTTGATGTCAGGCAGGCGGCCGGTCGTAAAACCAATTAGCCAAAACTATTCACAGTATGTAAGGCAAACCCTGGCTAAAGCTGGGAAATTGCCAGGTAGAAGAAGAAGTATTTATATATTTCGTAGGTATAAATGAAAAATATTTCTTACACAGAGACCTTGAAGTTCTTGTTTATAAATAAAAACATATTATATCACGAAAGATATTTAATGAAGTACGGAATCATTTAACGACTGCATGTTTATGCATGATAACTGGTTCTCAAAAACAAATTGTATTTTCGTACACATTAATGTATGTTTGGGATCAAGTGGACTCAATGTTTTAGGCCTAATTATTCAATATTTTTTATAACACACAAAGTTTTTTGTTTACAAA